TATCTGGTAAGCCACAGCCACATGGCAATACACAGATTAATAGAGATGGGTTAAATTAAGATATAAGAGTTTGGGCTGACGAGGGAGGGGGATTTGATTGGGGGAGGGGGAGGGAAAGGGGAGGCGGCGGTGGGGAAGAGACAGAAATCTTTAATAAATAAAAAAAAATAAAATAAAGAGTTAGCCAATAAAAAGCTAGAGCTAATGGGCCAAGCAGTGATTTGAATAATATAGTTTCTATGTGTTTATTTCGGGGCTGAGCAGCCAGGAACCAACAAACGACCTTCTATAACATCTCTCTCCCTCCAACTTTCAGAAAAGATGTAAGCTCTTACCTACTGCTCCAGTGACCACCTGCCTGCCACCATACTCCCTCCATAATGGTCACAGACTAACCCTCTGGAACTGTGATCCCCAAAAAATGTCTTTTATAATGTCTTTTATAAGTTGTCTTGGTCATGGTGTCTCTTCCCAGCACTGGAACAGAAACTGATGTGGTGATCTAGTTCTACATACGTGGGCTAAATTAGTAACTCCCAAGATTCCTTATCAAAGCAATCATTAGAAAGACAAATAAAAGAGAAATACAGACTTAAATTAATTATCAGTATTGATAAAAGGTAAGTGAGGACCTTCAGAAATACTACAGAAAACTTCTCAGACATCAAGAAGTCTCCACTGGTATCTCTTGTTTTTCTCATCCTATAATCTTACCAACCAAGTCCTCTAAGTAGGAAAGTTTTGAAGCGTTTATACCAAAGCAAATATTCACTTTCTGCAAGTTTCAAATATTCAGTTGACAACAACAAACTAAAGCTTGTTATTTTATATAACACTATAATAGAGACATTGGTAAATTTGTCCTTTAATTGATCTGAAGATTATCATTTAGCAACTACAAACTCCTATTACAAAGAAATCTAACAACAAAAAGTTGTGTTTAGAAACTGTCAAAAGAGCTCAGAGGATAACAGCACTGGTTTCTCTTCCAGAGCACTCAGATGGATTTTCCCAGCACCCACATTATGGCTCCCAACCATCTATAACTCCAGTTTCATGGTATCCAATGCCCTTTTCTAGCCTCTGCAGGCACTAAGGCACAAGGTGTCCATACACACAAGACATGCAAAACACTCATACACACAAAATTAAAATAAATAAATAAATAAATAAATAAATAAATAAATAAATAAATAAATATTTTGTTTAAAGTTCTATTTACCCACATATAAAGGGCTTACTGTTCAATAACTCCCAAGCAGGGCCTTCCTATTTTGATATTCAACTCAATAAAGAAAATTAGTTCTTTAGCAGGCAGTTGTGGTGCACATCTTTAATCCTACTTGGGAGGCAGAGGCAGGCAGGTCTCTGGGAGTTTGAGGCTAGCCTGGTCTACAGAGCTAGTTCCAAGACAGCTAGGGCTGTTACACAGAGAAACGCTGTCTCAAAAAAATCAAAAAAAAAAAAGTAAAAGAAAAGAGAAAGAAAGAGATAGGGGGAGGAAGAAAGAAAGAAAGAAAGAAAGAAAGAAAGAAAGAAAGAAAGAAAGAAAGAAAGAAAGAGAGAAAGAAAGAAGGAAAATTAGTTCTTCTATGGTGAGGCAAAGCCATGTTCTGTTCATTTATGGGTTTTGTCGTTATTTCTTAGCCCCTTATACAGGGCTCTATGACTACTTTGAGAGGTAACATGTCACTTTGGAAAAAGCCACAATAACCAAAGAAGTTATTTCATGTTTCAGAAAATATATCAAACCTCCATTATATGCTTAACTACCTAACCCCCTTTTCATGTACCATGCAACTATGTTTAAAGCATCATTCCAGATCCTATATATTCTAACATAAGTCCATTTCCTCCAGGATGTCTACCCAAACCATGCTGGGCTCAAACACCATCAGTGACAGCTTTATAAACATACCTATGAAAGCACTAAAGTACAAAATAGTATGAAAATCATCTCTCTCCTGTGCAATTTACAAGTGGGTTAGAAGAAAAGGATACAACTTCAAACAGAAACAACCCAATAATCATTTTCAAAGAAGTGCTTAAAATGTATGTTGAAATATATACTTCCATGAGACACTTTTGCACTGTTTTATATTATTTTTCATTTCTGTAAAATTTAAAACGAAAGAGACTGCCTTTAAAAGATTATAATATTTTTGTCCTTAAATATTTACTTATCTGCATCTATGTCTGTGTACCATGAATGTGTCTGGTGCCTGTGGTGACTAGAAGAAGGCATCAGAGCCACTGGAACTGGAGTCCCATATGGTTGTAAGTCACCATATGAGTGCTGGAAATTGAACCCAGGTCATCTGGAAGAGAAACCAGCACTTCACTTTTAACCACTGGATCATGCCATGCCTGATGATAATCTTCTTGATGGACATGAACTTGGAGAATAACTTTATGGTTCCTCATAGCAACAATGGGTGTTCAATGAGAAGATACCGTCTCAAGCGAAGAATGTGGTTTAAAACCAAACTAAAAAGTAGTATTGATCAAGATCTTAGAGCCTTTTACTCCCATATCTCTCAGGGCAGAGGCAGAAAGGAACATGAGTTTGTTTGTTCAGTCTATGACAGAGGAGCTCTATTCTAAGAACATTAACTTACCAGGCTATCCCAGATTTCGTTTTCTTAGCTTTTCAAGTTTTGAACAGCACTTCTAGCTATTGAACCCAAGGCCTAACACATGCTTAAGCAAGTCCTCTGCCAGTAAGCTATATCCCTAGCCACTGCCACCTTTTATAAAATATTGAAATGAGGTTTTTGCTTAGTTGCCCAGGCTAGCCTCAAACTTAAAATCCTCCCATCTCAGTCTTCTAAGCAGCAGCATGTGTTATAATTACCACACAGCTCTTCCAGACAGTTCAGCATTATCCTTTCTAGTCAATGGCTACAACATAAACATGTTCTCCAAATAATATTCAATTTTCAATTTACTAAATATCCTGAGACCAATAAAAAGAATTCCTAGAATATATTATCTATGAGTATTCCAGAAATACACAGCACTTTAAATATATTTGTAAGTAGAACTATGAGTTAATCAATGTCATTTGCTAAAAATTTTGAGTCTAAGAATTACAGGGGACAAAATATAAAACATGAACCTTTTTACTCATACCATAATATGGGTAACAGAACATATAAGTGACAAAAAATTCATACAGTTCAAACAGTATATGTGTGTTTGCATATATAATATCAAAAGAGTGAGAAACATAAGAAGAGTTTACTGAAGGAATATGTTAC